ATGCCTTAACCACTGAGCCACCAGAGCGCGTAAAGTTGACCTGTGGGTGTAGAAATCAGAGTGGAGATTGCCTTTGAGGGGGTGGAATTGACTGATTAGGGACTTTAGGGAGCTTTCTGAGAGTCATGGAAATGATCTAAATCTTAATGGCAATATGGGTTAAAACACAAAAAAAACCCAGTTGCCATTGAGTGGATTCTGACTCATGGTGACCCCATGTGTGTAGAGCAGAGTAGAGCTGCTTCATAGGGTTTTCGATGGCTGAGTTTTTGGAAGTAGATCGTCAAGTCTTTCTTCCAAGGTACCTTTGGTAGACTCGAACCTCCAACTTTGAGTTAGCAGCTGAGGGTGTTGACCTTTTGCACCACTCGGGGGATATGAGTTATATAGGCATGTACCTTTAATGAACTTCACAGGATGACACACTTAAGATCTGTGCGTTTCCTTGTGTCTATCTTAATTTTAAAACATTAATTACGAAAAGAGAAAAAATGGTGGGTGTTTTGTCAGCCTCAGCCCTTGAATGGTTACAATGGAACGTGTATCCCGTGAGGAAGAAATAAGCCTTGCAATTTTAAGCCACTGTGAAGGAGGAATCTAAACATGTCTGAAATCAGACTAGTCATCTCTTCCCACCCTCTCACCCGCATTTCCCAACCTGCTTCTCCTTCAGTTTTTCTCACCATCCCCCAGTTACTCAAGACAGAAACCAGAAGTTACCTTTCATCCTTGATGTCCCTTCTCCTGCATCCAAACCACCACCCAGCCCACATAGGTCTGTCTCTCAAACAGTCCATTCATCCCACCCATACAGCGATGTTGACTTGAGGCCAGCCTTCTGCCCCTTGATTACTGCACTCACTTCCTAATGGTCTCCAACATCACACTGTCCACACAAGGCCCTTTTCTATACACACAGTGACCTTCTCAACATCATGGCCCTGCTTACCACCTTGCAGAAGCTCTTCACCAGCCTCAGAATCAAGTACAAACTTCTTAATGTAGTTTAATAAGTTCCTTCTGACCTTTGTGGCTGTGCCCCAGGCCACATCTGCCTTGCACTGTGTGCTCCAGACAGAGGAACAGTGTTTACCTCCTTCTTGTGGAGGGCATTGGTGGTCAGTGGGAGAATTCTTGCTTCCCTTGCACAAGACCTGGCTTCCATTCCTGGCACCTGATGCACAGCCACCACACCACCCATCTGGCACCGGAGATTTGCGTGTTGCCATGATGCTGAACAGGAGCTCTGATGGCGTAGTGCCTAAGGCATTTGACTGTTAACCAGAAGGCCGGTGGTTCAAACCCACCAGCTACTGCTTGGAAGGAAGATTGGGCAATCTACTTCCATAGAGATACTGCCTCAGAAACCCAAGGAGGGGTCACTAAGCGTCAGAATCGAAGTGGTGCTTCCAGACTAAGATAGACTAGGAAGGAGGACCTGGCAGTGTACTTCTGAAAATCACCCAATGAAAGCCCTGCTGATCACAGTGGTTAGATCTGTGAGCGTTCGTGGGGAAGGTGCAGGAGCAGGCAGGATTTCTTTTCATTGTGCATGGAGTCACCAAGGCTCAGCCCCTGACTCAATGACAGCTAGCAACAAGTTTGTTGATGTATCTTGTTCTCTGCCCTATGAATTCTGTTCCTGCTGCCAACACCAATGTCTTGACCTGGGTAATGCCAACATCTTTTGGGCCCAGGATGGAGGACCCAGTCCCTGCTTGAGGGCAAGTTCTTTGAGGATCTCTATCCGTTTTACTTCCCAATGTATCCTTAGCATCTGGAACAGTGCCTTGTACATAGCAGACACTCAACAAGTATTTGCTGAATGAATTTTCCCTGATATCAGAATCCCTGAAATATTATTGCCTTTGACTTCAGAAGACAATGGAATAAGTCAACAGTCATACTAGCTACCATTCATGAAGCATCTACTATGTGTCAGGGATGGTGCTGAGAACTATAAAAAGTATGACCTCAGGTTATCACTGGCTCCATTTTCCAGGAAAGGGGAGTGAGTTTCAGAGAGGTGCATTCACCAAATACAAGTGAGGGCCTACTCTGTGCCAGGTACTGGTGTGGGCACGAGGGATACAGCAGGGAGCAGAACAGACAAACGTGTGACCTCATGGGGCTTACATTCCACTGAAGGACAAAGACAGTGAATTGACAAAGAAGTCCACACATAGTGTGGGAGATGAATGGCAGCTGATAGGGAGAAACTAAAGCAGATAAGGCGGTTGCTGAGAGCTGTTTCACACAGGGTGGCCTGGGCATGGGGCTCTTACCAGGGGCCTGGAAACCCGGAGAAAGATCACTCCAGGTGTGGTAGTGAAGGTTATGTGTCAACTTGGCTGGGCCTGGTTTTGAGTGGCTGGGCAGCTGGATGTAGTTATTGCCCTCAGTGAGACTGGTAATCAGCTCCATGGTGGAATCTACTGGAGCAGCTGAGTAGCTGCCTTAGGGATGTGGGACACTATCAGTATGTAAGAGGCAACTTGGAGGAAGGTCTCCAGCCTTTTGACACATTTGAACTGTGCATGTAGCCAAGTCATTGTTCAGCAGCCTGCCATGCCCTGCCGATCTTGGGACTTGAATTAGTGGCCTGCCGGGTTGTTTGGTAATATTGGGATTATGCCTTTTTACTTATTGACCTTGGGGTTGTCAGCCTCAGTAGCCAGCAGCTGCCTGAGTAAAGAGAAGCCTCCAGCTTCAGCGGGCCGGGAGCACAAGGCAGAGCTGAAGCCTAAGGTTGAGGGGCTTTCACCCAGCCCCTAGAGCCCAGTGCTTTGAACTTAGACTATTAGTCTTTAAAATTGTAGGAGAATAAACTCATATTTTTTGAAGCCATCCCATTTGTGGTATATTTTGTGTTAGAGCAGCACTAGATGTAACCACAACACCAGGTAAAGGGATTGTAAGCACAAAGGCTGTGAGCAGGAATGGGTTTGTGCATTTAAAGAACAGCAGGTTGGTGAGGATGAGCAGAGTGGTGAGTGGACAAGGAGTAAGGATGAGGTCAAGGAGCTCTGGTGGTGCAGTGCATGAGGCATTTGACTGCTAACCAGAGGGCTGGTGGTTCAAATCTACCAGCCACTCTGCAGGAGGAAGATGAGGCAATCTACTTCTGTAAAGATTACAGCCTTGGAAACCCAACGGGGGTTGCTGTGAGTCAGAATCGACACGATGGCAGTGGGTTTGTTTTTTTTGGTTTAGGGATGAAGTCAGAGAGGAGCAGAGCCATCAGGCCACCTTTGGCTTGTGCTCTGAGAGTTGGAAGGTATGGGATGTTGGACAGAGAGGCTCCATGAGCCAAGTGACTTGCTCAGGTCACACAGCTTGTCCACGTCAAAGTCAGGCATCTAAGCTGAACTTTAAGGCCCCCCCCCCCCCTTGTTCCTAAAAGTGAGTCCAGTGACAAAGTCCTGATGGCTGCAGATCGCTCTCTCACTGCTGGCCTCTTATTCTCTCCATGCTTCAAAGCATCTGCTGTGATTTGGAGCCACCATTCTGCTGCTCACGGCATTGAGCCCCACCCCATTACACTCAGGTGTAACATTTCTTCCCATTGACCTAACAGATATTTAGCTGGGAACTATGTTCATTGTTGGGAGCTCTGGTAGTGTAGTGCCTAAAGCATTTGACTGCTAACCAGAAGGCTGGTGGTTCAAACCCACCAGCCACTCCTCAGAAGGAAGGTTGGGTAATCTACTTCCATGGTGATACTACCTCAGAAACCCAAGGAGGGGTCACTGTGAGTCAGGGCCTACTTGATGGCACATAACAACAACAACAACATATTCATTGTTGGGGAACCCTGGTGACATGGTGAGTAAGGCATTTGGTGCCTAACCAGAAGGTTGGTGGTTCAAACCCACCAGCTGCTCCATGAGGGGAAGATGAGGCAGTCTACTTCTGTAAAGATTTATGGCCTTAGAAACCCTATGAGGGTTGCTGTGAGTTGGAGTCGACTTGATGGCCGTGGGTTTGGTTTGTTTTTTGGATACTTGTCAGGAAAAATTGCAATGCTTGAGATAGAGTCTCTGCCCTCTGGCCTTTTAGGAAGAGACAAGGGGACAGGCAATATAAATGGAGAATATGTGGATGAAGGGAGAAATAGGACGGGCACCTAATCAGACAGAGGATTGTGAAGGCTTCCCTGAGGAAGTGAAAATGTGAAGGAGGGTTAATGAGGTTGGAGAAGGGGAAAGAACAGTCAGCCACGCAGCAGCAGCAGCAGGTGCAAAGGCCCTGAGATTGGAGGTCAGATCAGTCGAGGAAATGAAAGGTGAGTGAGGCTTGGATGCAGGGAAGAAGGACCCAAGAGGTGAGAGCGTGAAGAGGCAGGAAGGGGGCCTGATTATACTGGGCCGTATGGGCCAGTGAAAGGACCTAAATTGTTATCCTGAAAATAATGGCATGGGACTGAAGCATTCTAAGCAGGAAGTGCCTTGAGTGGGTATGGAAGAGTGAAGCTCGTTCTGGCTGCAGCATGAGGCCTGGTGTGTGCAGAGCCAGAGTGGGCCATCCAGGTGCAAGATGATGTCAGGTCGTATGGCTGGAGATGGGAGGCAGTAGATGAGGTGTAGAGGCAGCTAACAGGAAAAACTGGCAGTTCCCAGATCAAAAAAAAAAAAAACTCACTGCCCTCGAGTTGATCCTGACTCATAGCAACCCCTCCTTGGATTTCCAAGGTCATATGTCTATGGAAGTAGATTGCCCAGTCTTCCTTCCAAGGAGTGGTTGGTGGATTTGATCCACCCTTCTGGTTAGCAGTCAAATACCTTAGGCACTACAGCACCAGAGCTCATGAGGAGTAAAAGAGATGGGGGTACTAAGGATGGCCTCCAGGTTTTGGGCTTGCAGAGAGGATGCACAGCTATGCTTTTCATCGAGACAGGGTGCATGAGCTGCTGGAACCACAGCTTGCAGAGTGTACATGTGCCATCCACCAGCAACACCCTCAAGCTCTAAAAATGTTCCCTGTGTTCTTTCCCCTCCAGAGGGCCAAGATTGGTCAGGGGACCAAGGCTCCAGAAGAAAAGACCACCAACACCATATCCAAATTTGACAACAATGGCAACAGGGACCGGATGAAACTGACTGATTTTAACTTCCTGATGGTGCTGGGGAAAGGCAGCTTTGGCAAGGTACAGTATGACTTGGGGCTGCACCTGCTCCAGGAGGTACAGCTGACAAGGCAGACACATTTTCTGCTCACATGGGGCTTCCCTTCTGTGGGGGAGATGGAGAATAGCAGGTCCCCTATACTACCATTTATAATGAGTTGCAGACAAATGAAGAGGGGAACTACTCAGACTGCCGAGGTGACCCTTGAATGGGGACCTGAAGGATGAGATTGAGCCAGCCATGCATTCCAAGAGCTAGGAAAGAATGTTCCAGGTAGAGGGAATAACATGTGCAAAGGCCCTGAGGAAAGGACAGGCTTGGTGCATTCTAGATGCCATCCAAAGATATTAGTGCCAAAATGTCATGAGCATGGGAAGGTGGTAAGTTGGGAGGCTGCAGAGGTGGGTGGGGGTTTGATCACGTAAAAGCTTATGAGCTAGAATGGGGAGTTTGGATGGTATTCAAAGTGGGGAGCCACTGGACAATTCTAAGCAAAGAAGTGACACGATTGGATTTGCCTTTTGGGAAAGATCACTCTGGCAGCCAAGAGTGGAAATGGTTCCTTTCAAACAGCAGCTCAGTTGAGGGATGGCTCATCCAGTGATTGTGGATGGCTTTATAGATACCGTGAGCCACTCCTGTACTAAAGTTGAGAACGTGTGATAAGTATTCCTGACTTGTTTAGTGTTGTTTTGTGTCTTCTAATCCCTTTGTGTGCCACAGAGATGTCTACCATAAATCTCATCCCCCGAATTCAGGTGTGCAAAAATATAAATTTCCTCACCATCACTGTGATTTAAACCAAAACTCTAGAAGTTATCCTTGAGTTCTCCTCTTTCCTTCATCTTTCTCCCTGCTCCTGCCCAGACTACATACAACCCATCCCAAATCCTGACAATTCCTCCTCCAAAGTGTATCATGAATTCACTTGCTTCTCCCCTTCTTCACTGATATACTCCTAATCTAAAGAATCAGTGTCACCTGGACCACTGCAGAAGCTCCTAACTGGTTTCCCTGCTTCTCCACCTGTTACATGTAATCGGTATGTTTCCAATCTAGCAGCCATGGTGATGTTTAAAACAGATCAAGGCTTTCCTGCTTAACACTCTCCCATTACTTCCCACTGCAATTAGAATAATATATATATACATATATATATACATACATACTATGGTTTTGTTAACAATGTCCTCGATAATCCAGCACTTGTTCTCTGCTTGACTTCTTTTTTTCCCCTTTCTCCCCATTAGCCATTGTACTCTGGCCACCATGGCAGCCCTTGGGTTTCTAAACTGCAAAAAGATCATTCCCCCTTGGAGAGATTGTGATGTTGTTCCCTTTGGTGTTTGCATGGATGGCTCATTATTATAACTCACATCACAACTTTGATGTCACCTCCTCTGAAGCCTTTCTTGACCACCCACTCCAAGTAGCCACTCGTTTTTCTCTCCACCATATTTATTTCTCTCCGTACCCATCCGAGGTGATGCTTTTTTATGTCTTTATTGGTTAGTCCCTATTCCCCTTCCAAGCTCTAAGCTCTACAAGAGCAGGGACCTCCTTTGCTGTGTTCAGCATTGTGGTTTTAGTGCCTATGGATTGAATTCATTCAATGCCTAGATTAAATGCATGGATTATCTCTAAGTGGTTAAACCCTCTGCTACTGACTGAAAAGTCAGTGATTCAAAGTCATAAACTATTTTGTGGGAGAAAGATGTGGCAGTCTGCTTCCAAAAGGTTACAGTCTAGGAAACCCTATAGGGCAGTTCTACTCTGTCCTATAGGGTCGCTATGAGTTGAAATCAATCAATGGCAGTGAGAGACAAGGTCATCTGCTGAGATGGAATAAGGGATCAGAGGTGATGCCCAAGGTTTGAAGAGCCTCAGCATAGAATGGGAATGGAAGTAAGAACACCCAGTAAATTGCTGAGCAGTCTGATTGTCCATAAGATGAGGGAATGAGCAGTTGGGGATTGTCATGGTCTATCTCACTGTGTGACTTTTGCCCAGTTCTGTGTGATCTGAGTGTGAGTGAGAAGCAGGTAGTGGATTTGCACTAAGAATGGAGACCAGTGGGATCAGAGAACTAGAAGATGACAGTAACAAGAGAGCTAAGGATTCTGGGAAGGGAGATGCTCACTGAATTGCTGCAGAGCCGGCTTACAATAGATGCTCAGTACAAGTCTGTTGAATAAATAAATGAAAATGTCATCTAGACTGGGCTGGCAAAGAAGGTGAAAGAGACAGAAGGTCAGGTCTTGGGTGGGAAAGGAATCTAGAGGCTTCAGTTTGAAAACTGCATGAGTAAAGTCAAGGCATTTAAAATGATGAGAAGAGACGTATGTAGATTTCAAAGACGGAGTGTTGCCATGATGACAATGAAGAAAGTGGCCTCAATGAAGAAGAGGTTCTAATAAACTGAGGCTGTTGGGGAGCTTTTCAAAATTAAATTATCTTTGTAACAAGCAGTGTCTTCAAATGGTTCATAAAACACAATTATATCAGAAGAATGAACACTGAGAAGACTTGCTCCCACCCAAGTTCACATTCTTCTGTGTAAACACTTTTGAAAATTTAATCGGCACCTTTCCATTCCTCTTTACTAGTATGACATGCACAGATAGGCATTTTTATTCTTGTACTTGCTAACCCAAAAGCTAGCATACTGTACACATGAGTCTGTGCCTTTTTGATCACTTAACAGTCTATGTGGCAGAGGATTAAGGAATGGAAATTCCAGAGTCTTAGGGAAAGGACTGGGGTTGGGACAGGTAGCATGGTGGGGCAGTGGGGCAGTGGGGGTCAGCAAGGGAATGAGAGAGAATAGATGCTAGGTTTCCATGGAAACACTTCTGATAATTGAGAGTTCCATCCCAGACAGGAGGTATGGCATCATATCAACCATAGATGAAAACAGCAGCAATTAGTAGAACAAAATCCTCTATGATCCTTTACTTAAAGAGTGATCCTCGGCAACTCCAGTTTTGCCAATCATTGTTTGAAATGGATGTGGTTTTATGTGTGAATGTCTGCTTGGAAAGTGTTGTGTTCTTGTTAGGTATACAGACCAGTCAGTCCCCTGAGAAGACCACGACAGCAGGGGTTGTGTCTCCGCCCTGGAGATGAAAGAGGGCAGCCGTCCAGCTGGTTCTGTTCCCACCTCCCTCCTTTAGGTCCCTAGTATCAGATCTGGCCCAGAAAAGCATGCTCTTAAACACTGTCATATTTATGGAGCAACTAGTGGGTGACACGAGTCTTTTGCTAAGACCTTGAACATCAAACAGGGCAGAAAGCAGGTGCAGAGGACACAGCATTCCAAATGAGTGAGCCCTGTTTAAAAAGCTTTTCAAAGAACAGTTTGAAGAGTTTGCCTTCCTGAACAGGTGGGTGTGTTTACCTGGAAGGGATATCTTACCAAAGCAGGGCCTGTTGGCGTGTCTGGCTTCCTCTGGAGAAAGGTGCCTTCTAGAACTTTTATTGCAGAGCATTCAAATGTATTGTTCATTTATTATTTAATATTACTTTTTAGAGTCTTATCCTTTAACCTCTACTTTCTCTGGTTCCTTAAACCTTTTGACTTCAGCTTACCCAGGAGCTGTGGTGGCATAGTGCCTAAGGCGTTTGACTGCAACCAGAGGGCTCGTGGTTCAAACCACCAGCCACTCCTCGGAAGGAAGATTGGCTGATCTATTTCCGTAGTGATACTGTCTTGGAAACCCAAGGAGGGGTCGCTACGAGTCAGCTCTGACTTGACAGCAGTGAGTTTGGTTTGGTTTGGTTTGGTTTGGTCAGCTTAGCCAGCCACACCACCTTCCCAGAGCTTAATCTCTATGGTGTGTCAAGTGATAGCTGGAGTTAAAATTATGCTCTAACGTCTATAAATTGGACAGATATGTACTGTCTTGACTGATGATACAAGTGGCCCTTATAAAGTAAACACAAGTAACCTGATAAAGTATATACATAGCATAAATACAACTCTTTTAAATTTTAGTATTTGTATTTTTAGTGAACTTTTATGTAGCAAGTTTGGTTCCATTGAACAATTTCTATACATACTGTCATAACTCTGGTTACATTTTCACAGTGTGTCAGCATTCTCATTATTTCCATTCTGGTTTTTCTGTTTGCCTGAATCTAGCTTCCCTGTGCCCCGCCCCACTTTAGCTTCTCATCTTTGATTTGGGGTAAATGTTGACCATTTGGTATCGAAGAGATGATTTTTCCAAGGAACACAGTACTCATGGGTGATATTGTTTGTTTGATGAGCCAATCTGCTGTTTAGCTGCAAGGTGACCTCCAGATATGGTTTCAGTACAGAGTTTAAAGGGTATCTCAGGGCTGGAGTCTTGAGGGTTCCTCTAATCTTGGCTGGTCCAGAATTTGAGTTTTATTCTACGTTTTCCTCCCATTCTATCTAGGGACCATGTGTTACGTCCCCAGTGAGAATGCTTGGTAGTGGGTCTTGTCTCTGAGCCAGTGACCATGCAGATGTCTGTTTATCACAGCAGTTGGAATTCGAGGCCCCGACTGCCGTACGAATGGAGGAAGCCTGGCACAGGTCGGGCAGGAAGGAAGAGCCCATTCTGAGATTTTCATTTATCCCTCCCCCTCTTCGCCCTCTCAGTTCTGGTACCAAATTGTTTCTTTGTTCTCTAGTGATGCTGTAACAGAAATACCATAAGTGGATGCTTTAACAAACAGAAGCTTATTTTCTCACAGATTAGGGGGCTAGAAGTCCGAATTCAGCTTATTTTCTGGTTCCTTGGAGAATTCCGTGTGGCTTGACATCAGTCTTCCCCATCTCTGCCCACTCCCTTGCTTATATAAGCTTCTCTCATATCTCAAAAGAGCCTTATTCAAGACACACCCTACATCAGTCTTGCCTGATTAACATAACGAAGACAATCCATTCCCAAATGGGATTATAACCACAGGCATCCAGGTTAGGATTTACAGCATAGAGTTTTGAGGGACACAGTTCAATTCATAACACCCATCCCACCGTCAATCCATTTCA